AAGGAAACGAATTTATTTGAAAACGGTGCGAGTTAAACAGATAATTAGTTTCCTTATAAACTAATACATTATTATAAATTATACTAACTTACATTACATTATAATACATTATTATAAATTTTACTAACTTACATTACATTATAATACATTTTTATAAATTATAGTAACTTATAACTTTATAATAACTGCAGTGTGCGCAGTAAAAAAAAACGGTAAACTCAGACAGAATTTTATTTAGCTATCATAATTCTTGCACAAACTGAGCAATCATCGTAGCTGTTCGAAATGTTTGCCTGAATGTTCAACACAAATTTGTAAGCGTGATAACCAGGAGGCAGTAGCTTTGCGAATAGTGTCAAGAGGAATTTCATTCTAAGTTTCCATAAAGTTCCACTTCAATGAATCAATATCGACGATGTCACGACGACGGTTTTACAAGTGAGTATGCGCCAGATACAGTAATCCATTCAGATCTGGGCTTTTAGAGGGCCACTGTGATGAATCAATTAGAGCTCGGGTATTTTTCGAAGAATAAATTTGCCGCGTTTTTTCTTTTTTTTTTTTTACTAGGCACCCTGTAGTTTTAACCCGTGGAAATTTCATCGTTTTCCTATTTAAACTCTTCACTTAATGATTGAATAAGCTCATGGCGAGTTCTACAGCAATACAATATCCGTGAAAATTCCCCTATCGCATCGATAAATATTTTAGCTTAACAACTTTACCAAAATAATACAATAACAATTATAATAACATTCATAAACATAAATGCTGGTCGTTCTTTTAAGAAGTAAGGGGGTACAAATAAAAAGATTTGAAATTGACAACTTTTGAATATCACTAAAACAGATGTTAAAGACATGAGAGTATTATTGCCTCTTGTATTCCGTATTTTTTATTAAGCGCTACAAAGGACAGGAAATTGTGGATAGCTATGATCGCGAACGCCCTGAAGAGACACGACACATAGAAGAAGAAGCTGCTCTGGTAATTTCTTCCATCTCGTCAGCACCAGAGTGGGCGGGAACCATTATCGCAAGATGATTATAATTTAAATCTATTAGACTCTGCAAGTAAATAAATCGTGATAGTACCTACTAGTATAAATTCATTATAAATTTATAGCAGTACCTCCCCACTACAAAAGATTTATAGTAATGCCACACCTACAAAAGTCATACCTAAGTTTAAAACGTCTTTTTTAAAAAAAAAAAAATAACTTTATTGATTCTTTAATTTTAGTTTATTCAGAATTAATAGATTAAATTTAAGTATTCAAAAAATCAATACCTTAGGTCTAAAATGAATTTTAATGAGCTTTTAAATGAAGTATAAATGTAAAATGAGACATTTAAAATGAGGCGTTTAATGAGGCATTAAAATGAGGCATTAAATAAGGCATTTAAAATTAAGCATTTAAAATTGGGCATTTAATAATGTGACAGCAAAAATTAGGCATTTAATGAGGCATTTAAAATGGTGTTTAAAATGCATTTTAATAATCTTTCAAGCTTTTATCCTGGTTTTAATTCCAAACTAATCATTAAATTCAACTAGTTTTAATCAGTGAAAATTTAATGATTTTCCTATTTGAAATTTTTAATGAATCTTAATTCTTCAGTTAATAATTGATTAAGCTCCTGGCGAGTTCTACAGCAATAAGATATCTGTTGAAATTCCCCTATCGCATCGTTAAATAAATAAATAAAGCTTAATAAATGGAAAGGTTTGAAATTGACAAATTTTTCCATGTCACCGAAAATATAGGTTAAACACTTCTATTTTCTCTTCTTTCTTTCATTTTCTCACTGAAACCAAATAGCGTCTTTGATATGTCTCAAGCGATCAAAAAGGAATAGTCCATTATTTATAAGAAATTAGCAGAAGACGTTTAACACTTCTATGCCCTTCATTTCGTTCTTTCTTTTTTCGTTGAAACCAAATAGCGTCCCTGATATGCATTCGATATTGCCACGTTATCAAAACGGAATAATCCATTATGAATGCGGTATTAGCAGGGGACATTAAACATTTCGATCTTTTTCTTTCTGTCTTTTTTCTCTCACTGATATGCCTTGTTTTTCCACGTGATGAAAACGAAATAGTTCATTGTTTATGATGTATTGGCAGGACGTAACGGTCGTGCGAACTAACGAAGGTAGGGACAGGCAGAATTATTATATGATAATTATATAATTTTTATTAATTAAAATATGTTCTCTTAATTTTCAGATAATGAACATAAGTACTATTTACAAAGTGTGTTCATATTGTTTCATGTTTTTTTCCGATGTGGCTATCATATTGTGATCAAGTGCGTAAGAAACAAGGCTGTGTGTACATGTGTAATGTCGTTATTTTAAGTCGACTTCTCTTCCTAGCATGTAAATATTAATTACAAAGTCTCAAGAGGAAGACAGTTTGGGGAATACACCTAGCTAATTTTCTCCCCCCAAGTTGGGTCCGATGAATGTGGAAATTTACTCATCGCTTTTCACCTCGTCCCCGATGAGATTCACTTGCTTTGTATTCGTTTTCGCTCTCGGGGTGTCTGATGAGAACAATGGCATACGGCCATTAGCAATAAGGGCTGTGATTGGTGAGTGGAACTAGATAGTTGGAAAATGGGATTTTGACCGAAAGCGAGGGAAAGCTGGCCAGGTAAAGGATGAGAAAGAAACAATCGAACAGAAGAAGAAAATTAAAAGAAAGAATGAAGAGAGTACGGAGGGATTAGGCGAAAATATTGTGGGGATCACCGGAAGTTAAAAAGAAAGGGAGAATGGTAATGTGTAGCAAGGAAACAAATGATAGACAAATCGAAGAAGCAAACTGCATAAAAAGCAATATCAGAAAAACAAAGAAGGGTGAAAGAATTGAAAGGAACAAAGAAAATAGTAAATAGCAATAAAAGAAAGAAACAATTGAACGAATCAATAAAAATGAACTGACAGAGAGGAATCGAAAGGAAAGAACTGAACAAAAAGAAGTGAAAGAAACGAAATCAAAGAACTGAACAAAAGAAGCTGAAAAACAAAAAGAACAAAAGATAAAGCTGAAAGAAGGGCGAGAAGAAAAAATCATCTATTAAAAAAATAGAAATAAAATCGAAAAGAAAAGCAAGAACGAATAAAAGAGGAAGAATAGAAAAGTCAAAAGAAAGTAGAATGGGAATAATCGAGAAATGAGAGAAGAAAGAATTGAATAAAGACCTAAGAGAAATAAAAGGAAGAATCACAATGAAGGAAGAAAAAAGGATTAAAACGAATGCAGAATTAAAGAAAATATTAAAAAGAAATGAAAAGGAAAGAGAGTGACGAGAAAGACAAAGTGCGAAAATTAAGAAAGGAAGAATCAACATAGATGTAGAAAAGAAGAGATGAGAAAAGAGAGTGAATAAAGAAGAGTAACGAAAAAAAGAAACAAACACAGAAGGAAAGGAGACAAACCGTAGAAAGAGGAAAGATGATAAAACGCAATGGAAAAGAAAGAGAAAATTGTATGGAGAAGAAAAAAAAAGATGAAGCGTATGATAAAAAGAAGCAGGCAAAGTAGAAAAAAGGAAGATACAATGAACATAGAAAGATGAGAATAGAGTAAATAAATAAATCAAAAAGAATAAAGATCATAACACTAAATGCAAAGCAAAGAAGGAAAGAAAGAATGAAAGAAAGAAAGAAAGTATGAGTGAATAAATGAAAGAAAGTAGGAATGAATGATAGGAAGTATGAATCAAAGCATAAATGAGTGAATGAATGAATGTGTTATGGTAATTTCCCCATGGACACTCCCAGCTATAAATAGGAGCAGGTACTGCCTTTTGGAGAGGGAAGTTTCCAGCAGTCAGCTCTGACAGTCAGACCGAACATTCTTGCTGTAATACTCTTGTTTGTATATGTTTGTATTACTGTTTCTGCTAATATATATGTTTAAGTCAATTCCTCTATTTGATTCTTTATTCCTGACCCTAAAAGGGCCACAACAGAATCAATGAATGAAAATATGAATGAAAACATGAATGAATGAATGTATGAAAGAAGTATTAATGAAAGAAAGAATGAATGAATGAAAGAAAGAAATAATGAAAGAATGAATGAAAGAAAGTATGAATGAATGAAAGAAAGAAAGAAAGTAAGAATGAATGAATGAAAGCATGAATGAGTAATAGAAGGAAATTATGAATGAGTGAAAGGGAGTATGAATGAATGAATGAATAAATAAAAGAAAAAAGTTAAAGCATTCAATTGAAGAAAGCAAGAGAAAAATTCAGCAAAAAAGCATAAAAAAATGTTATTAAGTGAAGCGGAAGAAGAAAGAAGGCAACAAAATAGAAAAGACAAAGAAAGGAAAGCAAACGAAAGGAAAAGAAAGTCGATAATTCAAGAGGGAGAGGTAAAATATTTAAATAAAAAGAAAGAAAAAAGAAAACATTAAGCAAAGTGGAAAAAGAAAGACAGAAAGAAAGAGAGTCAGAAAGAAACAAAGAGAAACTAGAAAGCAAAATGTGAATATTTTCCCGTCTTTCCTCTCACTGCTTACATTAGACACAGAAGAAAAAGAAGAAATATCCCATGATTAACCCAAAGAAAGAAAATAAGAAACAAAGGAAAAGGAAAGAAATAAAATGGATAAGGCACTTAGATAAAGAAAGGGAAAAAATTTAAATATTGTAAAGAAAGAGAAGAAGAATATTGAAAAGTGATAAAGAACGAAAAGAGGAAAGAAAAATAAGAAAGAAAGTAAAAAATAATGCCAAAAAGCGCTGAAAGGAGGAAGACGAGATAATATTTAGTGAAAAAGAAATAGAAAAAGGCATGTCTTGCAAAGTCGGTAAGGGAATAATTCCGGATGTGGAAGAAAGAAAAGTAGAAGGGCTAACAATGGAAGATGGAAAAGAAAAAAAAAACAAAAAGAAAGAAAAAAAGAATGAAGGAAGAGGTTGATAAAATGTCAAGAGGAAGAACGCGAAAATATTCAAGTATGCAGAAGAGAGAAAGATATTAAGCTAAGAAAAGAAAGAAACAAGAAATAAATAAGCGAAGAAAAAAGAAATAAGGGAAGAAACAAGAAATAAGGGAAGAAACAAGAAATAAGGGAAGAAACAAGAAAGAAACAAAGGAAGAATCAAGAAAAACAAAGGAAGAATCAAGAAAGAAACAAAGGAAAGAAATCAAAAAGAAACAAGTAAATAAGAAGGGAAGAAACAAGAAATAAGGAAAGAAACAAGAAAGAAACAAAGGAAGAATCAAGAAAGAAACAAAGGAAGAATCAAGAAAGAAATAAGGAAAGAAACAAGAAAGAAATAAGGTAAGATACAAGAAATAAGCGAAGTAACTAGAAAGAAATAAGGGAAGAAACAAAAAATAAATAAGGTAAGAAACAAGAAAGTAATAAAGGAAGAAACAGGAAACATGTGAAGAAACAAAAAAAATAAGGGAAGAAACAAGAAATAAGGGCGGAAACAAGAAAAAACAAGGGAAGATACAGGAAAGAATTGAGGGAAGAAACAAGAAACATGCGAAGAAATAAAAAAGAAATAAGGGAAGAAACCAGAAAGTAATAAGGGCAAAAACAAGAACGAAATAAGGAAAGAAACACGAAAGAAATTAGGGAAGAAACAAAAGGGAAGAAACCAGAAAGAAATCATGGAAGAAACAAAAATGAACGATTCAAATATAAAGATGAAAGAAAGAAAAATCTGGTAAAACACCAAGAGGAAGAAGGCGAAAATATCCATATATATAAAAGAAAAGTAAGACATTGAATGAAAGAAAGACATTGAAAGAAAGAAAGAAAGAAAGAAAAATAGTGAAAGAAAGAAAGAAAGAAAGATAGTGAAAGAAAGAAAGAAAGAAAGAAATAAAGAAAGAAAGAAAGAAATATTCAAATATACAGAATAGAAGAAAGTCATTACGTTAAGAGATTAGGCGGGAGCAAGAAGCTAAGAAAGAAAGAAAGACAAAGGAAAGAATGAAAAGAAATAAAGACATTAAACCAAGAGAAGAAAGAACAGAATCAAGAAACTAAGAAAGAAAGAAACAAATATAGAGAAAAAAAGAAAGACATTAAGTTAAGAGAAGAAAGAAAGATTAAAAGATAAAACTAAGAAAGAAAAGAAGAAACAAGAAATAACGATTCAAATATAAAGAAGAAAAGAAGGAAAATTTTAATAAAATTCTGTAAGAAGGAAAAATATCCATATATCCAAAAGAAAAAGAGAGACATTTAGGCAAGTAAAAAAAGAAAGAAAGAAAGGATGAAAGGAAATATACAGAAGAGAAGAAAGACAAAATCTAAGAGAAGAAAGGGCGAAAAACAGAAAGAAAGAAAGGCAGAAAGAAAGAAAGAAAATTTCAAATATAGAGACGACATGAAAGACATTAACCTAAGAGAAGAAATGGCGTCAGACGGAAAGGCGAAAGACAGGAAGAAGGAAATTAAGAAAGAAAGAAGTTGAGAAAGAAAGAAAGATAGAAAGAAAGGACGAAATACATTAAATTATGGGAAGAGAGAAAGAAAGAAAACTGATAAATCAAGAAGGAAGCTGTCGGCTAGCAGGTTAAAGGAATGACGATAATATCTTTTTCTATCAACAATCTCCTTTCGTCGAGTTTGAATACATCAATGGTCGCAAGAGAATGCTTAATATATAATATACGAGACGCGAGGCTTGGAGTTAGAATTAGGGTGAAACATATTGGTTAATGTGAAAGAACTGAAAGAAGCTTTAACAGAAAGAAACGTATAGAAGAATTTACATCCCATCAAACTAGAAATCAAGTTAAGTTCCATCTTGGCTGTGAGTCCAGAAGCAAACAGTTAACTAGCATTGTTAGTATTTGATGGCGTCCGCACGAAAAGGACAGTAAATATATGACAGTTAATGGATCTGTAAGTGTAATACTAAGATTCAATCTGTTTAATTTCAAGTGCTGTTCAATGGTTAATATAGCGGACTGAAACGTACAAGGTTTAGCTTTTGATTCCCTCTTCGAGAATGGTAAAATTGCGAACTTCTTATATAATACGCCAAGAATATCTTATGTCTATAATGTCTGTGCTAGAGATAGCTCGCTTACATCCCTCGTATAAGACAGTCCATGTAGCTGTATCTTTGTTACGACAATGGCGGACTCTTTATATAAGTCTTCATTTTTGATAGCAGGACGTAATCTCCTTAAATATGTTGGATGATATCTCAAGTAATGGTCAGCAATTTTCCACCCTCCAGCCTCTCTCTCACAGGCAGGATGTGGCGAGTCTCTCACTGCTCTCATCGTTATTTCCATGGAAAGTGTTCAGATGAACTATATTCCTCGTTTCCAACAGGTCTAACCTTCGCGGCTAGGACCCGCCATGACACTTTTCAGATAACTACCCACATTCCCTCCGTATTCCATTGGCGAGAAGTAAGTTTCACTCAGTTTCTTCTCGCGAACCACTGCCCCGTGGAACCTGTTTAAATTCTAGATTTAACCGTTATCTTCCCCTTCTATCTATATAATCTACCCCTTAGCGCAACCTCTACCTTGAGTGCCCCAGTGCCTTATTGACATAGACAGTCATGGCTCTACTCCGTTTTATTTCTTTCTTTAATAATTGTGAATTGCCATGACTTTTTGAAAAATATATGCGAGTGGTTTTCTTTTCATTCACAGCTTTGAAGACATTGTTTCGCTTTTAGATTTGTTGTCTTAATATGAATAAAGAATTCAATTTATATTTATCCATATCTGGAGAAGAAGAGATGGATTCTTACCTTTTCCAAAGGCAATAGTGTAAAAGTGAATGTAGTCGACTATGCTGTAATTTGAACTCGGACTAGTGAATTTACCTTTTGCGTCAAGAGCAATTACACCACACATAAACAATTATTACAGTGTATTAAGTTTAATACTGGTGGGTGTAATCACTGGCATTTGTCAGAACTAAATATTATAGTTCAGAAAAGGTGCATAGCAAGGTCGACTGATGGATTAAATTGAACTCACATCACTAGTGATGTAAGTTCAATTTTCATGGGTGTTCTGTTGACACGACTTTGTGTCAGATTAAGCTAAAGGGTCGGTTGTGGAGTTATTTCGCAGTGGAGGCTTGTATTTATACTAAATAGGTTCTAAAATAGGTTCGACGTACAAAACGTTAGGAACTTGATATAATAGGTATTACGCAGAGTAATCTTGTTGTGGTCGCGGACTACTTTCGTATTCGACTAACTGTCGACTACAGTCGTCCGACATCGACTGACCTTAGTTTCTCTTACTACTCCTACCTATATTAGGTGGGAGAGACTATTAACTATAGAATACGTGTGTTTCACCATAACCCCCCTCCTAAAACTTTACTCCGTAGGAGTAAATCAGTTTTCTTTATTTATTTTTTACAGGAAATATGAAGAAAAAAAAAAACAAAAACAAAAAAAAAAAACAAACAAAAAACAAAAAAACAACATCGTAGCCTATCTCCTACGTTTTGGATTCACTTTTAAAAGATCAGTTGCCTTTCTTTTTCTCCTGCATCGGTGTACCTCAGGTAAAATCGTTGTAGGCGTTGTTAGTTCAAACGTATCGAAAATCACCTCCATCGGCGTTTCTTCCGCATTACCACTGTCAAACCTAATTTGCTTAAAAGAAGCCTAACCTTCTTTCCTTCAGACCACGAGTGGCAGTCCTCGTTATACACGCTCGTATATTTTTTTATAATACTCCTCAAAAGTTATCTCTTCATCTGGACTGTACGTGAATATTTCAATTGAATTCCATATTGTATTCTCCGGGAAAGAATCATTTTGTAGATTTTTCTCTTACCTCTTCTCAGTTATTTCCAGAATTTTGTTTTGAAACTCCCTATGCATCTGTTCCATTTTTTGTTGGAATTGCATTTGTCTATTGAAAATTTCCTCCTGTAGCTGCATCTGGAATGTTTTTGTTGCTCTAATATTCTCATATGTTGTTCCGACTGGAACTTAAAGAATTCCTGGAATATATTTTTGCATTCCTCCATGTTCGCAAAAAGTTTACACAATGCCTAAATACTGTAGAGGGGGGGTCCTACGAATTTGCAATTCGTGACCCATTTAAGCAAACTGTATTATCGGGGAAACAAATATTTCTTTTCTCAGTTGAGAATACAACAGATTTTTTCGTCACTAAGTTGACGTCTTGGCTTGCGAAAAATTTTGCCATTTTTTTTTCTAAGTGTGAATCCGAGACTTTGTCACCAAAGTTATTGTGCCGAGTGAATTTTTTCTCCCACCGTATGAGTTCGAATCCTCGTCGCCAAAGTTGTTGTGGAGTTATTTCGCAGTGGAGGCTTTTCTTTGTACTAAATCGGTCCTAAAATAGTACGACGTACAAAACGTTAGGAACTTGATATAATAGGTATTACGCAGAGTAATCTTGTTGCGGTCGCAGACTAATTCGTATTCGACTAACTGTCGACTACTGTCGCCCGACATCGACTGACCGTCGTTTCTCTTACTACTCCTACTTATGTTAGGTGGGAAAGACTATTAACTATAGAATAGGTGTGTTTCACCATAACAAGTTCCTATTCACATGTTTCGAAATTAATTTTACGCAGGTAGCGTAAAGCGTATCGGCGTGGAAAGTTGAATCGGTTCTTTGTACTAAAGTCCTCAGGAAAGACTTGAATCAGTCTCTTCTTCCCTCAGGTAGCGGTTACATAGCAGGCCTGATTGGGATCTCTAACCTTAGAGAACAGCCAGTCTAGCTGAATAATTGCACTGAAACCACTCCACTATTTTCCCAAGAAGTCATGGCAATTCCCAAATAATAAAAAATAAGATAGTTGTGGAGAGCCATAATCGCCTACGTCTTGACAGGCATGTTATTAAGAAAATTCGTTTCGATGTTTTGGAAAGTGCGATTTTGCGTATACTACATTGTATATATCCCAACATTTGTTTTGTAGCACATTATTTTTAAGCATATCTGTCAGTAGTCTTGCGTTTGTTTGTAGGTTTACCTTTTCTTTCTAATCTTATTTCCCAAGCTGGTTCGTCGTCTCCGGTTTTTTTAAGCTTTTCGGTCAATATTTTTGACTCATCATAGTTGTGGCGATTCAACTCCATTATATCTTTAGTGTTATTATATTGCAACAATCCAATTGCAATGTTTGGTTGCTGCTTTTACATTCTTCTGATCCTTTCTTCTCCGGGTTGTCAGAGATTTCTTCATCTTCATCGATTACTATAGTACTTTTTGGGGCTGTTCCTGTATTTTGTCTTCGGTTTTTATCCCGTGGAATAGCTTTTGCTTTGTTCATATTTCATTCTTTACGTGCCTTGTGGTTCTAATGTGTTTCTTTGCAGGTATTTGCTATCCTTCATTGTCAATTATTACAAAGATTCTTTTGAATTTCTAGATCATATATCCACCTTCTTTGGTCGTAAATCTTTGGCTCGAATCTTCTACCGGAGTCTAGAGATGGTAATAGATGGTTTACTTTTAAGGAAACCGTAACACGATGTTCATGACAGGTGAAAAAAAAAAAAAAAAAAGACAAAAAACAAACAAAAAAAAAAAACAAAATAACTGCAGGGACTCCAAAATAAAATACTCAAGAGAAGCAAAAAGAAAAGACTATCAGTTTTTAGAAGATAATGTATGGTATCAGCAACCCAAGATGCGGGTTACAAATTTCAAATGTCAAAATCAAGCAAGCACAGAAATTTAAATATCTGTTTTAATAGGCGACGGAAAATGTCACGACGACGTATGAAGGCGCATTGAAATAGCAAAAGATGCCTTTAAAACGGTAAACAAAATATTAAGAAACAGGAAAATTTCGTTAGAAATAAATATAAAGAGCGCTTAATTGCTATATAATATCAACCCTCCTATATGGAATTGAATTGACGGTTTCCTCAAAAAATTAAGAAGAAAAAAA